AGGGCAGACATTATAAGCTTTATTCTTCTTCTGCTACCTTTCATTTTATTTTGATTTGTATATTTTTTGGTTTTTGTTTATTTTTTTTATTATTGTATATAGTATTTTTAATGAAGTTAATACATTTTTGAATCGAATTGAATTGAATAAAACCCAACAAGTTAACTAAAAAAAATTCAAGATGACCACCACCTCTATTTGTTATTATCCAAACAAAAATCGCTCAAATTTTGTTTTATTTACATGTTTTTGGCTAAATTTTGATGTAGTAGTTGAGAGTCATCCTCAATGCATACTTGGCTCAGGGGGCCAAGGCTAAAATGAATTTCTGCCATCTTATAGTTTTCAGTCTTAGTAATTATATTGTAATTTGTGCATCTGCTATTTTGTAAACCTTACGCTGTCATAATTTTTGCTTTACATGCTTATTCACAGAGATTATGATAGTTATTTGCCAGTGCAAATAGCAGTGGCAGCTATTATTACTGATGCACTGAGGCACTTCCTGTACAAATACCATAATATTTCTGTTTTACAACAGCTGCAGTCTACTTTGGTCTCAGTCTCTCTCAAACCAGCTGTCATTTCAGTCAAAAATAAACTGATTCTCCAAACTGTGGTTGTTCAAAGACCTACCCTCTGCAGGTAGAGTATTGGGTGTTCATAAGCGTTTTGCAAAACTCTCCTTCAAAAGCTCTGAAATATCCCTTTAAGTCATTTTCTGCATCGCTCAGGGGTGTGATTATGACATCATCTGTGCTTCTCCACTTTCAGCACACAGTATTATTTGACCGGCATGCATAAACCACAAACTAGTACAGCTATTAGGGGACAGTCAAGTCAGCAAACAGGGTTAATGGGCAAATCTGGAAAAGTCATATAACGCCTAATTCATTTAAATGATAGGAAAAGGTCTGTAGGATTTTTAAACATTGTGGGAGGAAAAAACAATCACTGCAGGGAGTTGTAGTTCTTCCAGTCAATCTTTGAATCATTAAGCATGCCTCCCTGAATCACTGTTAGTCACAGCTGACAAAAATCAAACCCCCCAAACAGCTCACCGCTTTACCACACAGATGACCTCACTGACTGGATCCGCTGAAATCAGCTGAATGCAGCTGAAACGTAGATGTTAAATTCCCTTTGATGTGTTATTAAAACTCAGTGATCAGACTTTTAGGAAGACATGCTTTTAAAATCAAATGTTACAGCTGAAATTACCGTAAAAGAAAAGGTAAGACGTGACAAAGCACAATATATTTGACGAACTTGACTTTAGTTTATCGGTATACAGTATCATGTTGATTAGCTTCATGGTTACTCTCTACAAAAACTCACCCAAACATGAAGACAAAAAAGCAGAACCTCTCAGGAAATGCCACTACAATCATTAGAAATGCGAAAATCTCCTATGTCTGTTAAGCACCTAAATGACACAGGGACCTTTATGTTTACATAATCAAATTTGCCTTCCTCCATTCAGTTCTTTCTGCTCCATGAACGGCTTTATTAATTGCTATCTGCACATTGCGAGAGCTACAAAAGTCTACTGTAAAAGCACCAGACACTAAATTATCCACGCATAACGTGGTTGTGTGCAGATTGTAGATGGTATCGTTTACTCAAAACATCCCGCTGTGTCATCTAATTAATGAAGCATATTTTTATTTGAGATGAAGGGCCACTTAACATTGATCAAGGGCCTAAGCTGCACTTAGCTTTTAGCACATAAATAACCATCGGACATCGGTGTGATCCCCCACCCTAACATACAGTGCTCATTAAAGCTCATCGCAAGTGCTGACATCACAACTTCTGATGTGCGGTTCCTCCCAGTTTCATCTTCATGAGTGCACCATCACCCTGCAGGGTACTTATGCTTAAGTAGCAGATTATAGATCAGTTCATTGAAGATTACCTCAAGTGCTGGTATGAAGTAGTGTTTCGAAAGTA